CAGGAATGTGCTTTACATGCAAGTACACTGAACATTACTGTGGACACTATTTTACCTGCAAGTTTTAAAGCACCATGGGGCACAGCAATATCAAAGCTGCACACACACACACACACACACACACCGGGCCAGCTTGAGCGCACACTTCCATACCTGTTACTAACTCCACCAGGAATGGAGGCTAATGTCAATGGAGTCAGTCTTCCATTTTCCCCAAGTTACCCTGACTGGCAGAGTCCCCCCAGGTGACAGGGCTCGGGGTGCTACGCAGCCGCCCTCCCCTTCCCCTACAGGCAGGGGGGATTCTGCTAGGAGGCCATGAGGTCGGCCCGACCCAGCAGCAACTTTTAGAGGCAAAAACATTTTAAATTTGCTTACTGCAACTTGGTACGTTGCTGTTTACCTAATAAATAAATAAAATTCCCATTATCCCTCTTTTGATGGCACTAGCTTGGCTATCCAGCAGATTAAGTGGCAAAGCTTTCCTTGAAAGATTGCTACCTATTCCACCTACTATATGTCATTCATGCATCTCACTGCAGCCTCTTGTAATGGATTAAAAGTAATTTCTTATGGTTTATGGAAAAAAAGTAATGAAATTGGAAAGGATCCTCTATGCCCTAATGCAATGCCCCATCCAGTTAAACAATGAATAAGGGTAGTTTTAAGGAAAAAACAAATGAAAATAGATCACCCTAGATTTGATACCTTTCTATTAAGGACGGATCTAATCGGACCCAAGCAGAGTATGGCAATGTCAGCAGAGGGGGCTTTCCAGTTTCCCTGACCCTATGATCATTTATAATTAAAAGCAGTAGAAAGGCACTACATTATTCCAGGAAGAAGCACATTTGCCTACCATCTCTTTAACATCTTGGGACACTGAAAATCAAACTTTACAACATTCAGATTTATATAAAAATGCATAGATGGCAGGAAGTCAGGAGAGGAGATGAATAAATCTCAGATCAGAGGTCCCCATATGAATATACAAATAAAACGCTACCACACAATTCTGAAACCAACACAATTTACTTCACCCAATCTTGGGCAGTAATTTAGGCTTCCATATATGTTTGGTGAAGGACAGAATACTACCCAGCTTGTTTTGGGGACACTGCCTTTCTAAGTCATCCCTCACTTCCTACAATTCTCATTCACAGCTTCAGAGTTAACTCCTTTCATCCACATGGATGTAACACTGGACAGTTCAGCTCAACGCACTGCCAGCCCTCTTACCTAGCTGAAGCTAAGCCTCCCATTGCTTCATAGGGAAAGATTCTGATTTGATGCCACTCCTTTTTCATGGCATTTAAGACTACTTAAAAGGCCTCCTGCTACCAATTAAACATGATCAAATCACAGGTTTATATAACATTTACATCTGATAAATTTGATCCGTACCTTGAAGTGTCTCCTAATAGGTCCTGTATTTTCAAGATGTCCTCTAATTCGTCTGTGAGGGAAAATATCATTTGTTTTTGAAGAATAGTAAGAATTCTAGGGAGGGAAAAAAACAGCAGCTATTAGCTTGCTATTGCCGAGTTATTGACAGACAGATTTTCAGGCTACATTAACTCGCACTGCAATAGGGCTGAACGGCAGCAGGATCCCCACAGCACGCGGCCTGGGTTCGAGCTGCTCGAAGCGATGGCAGCCCTCACTGCATGCACACAGCACAAACCACCCTCCTCTCCTGGATATCGCCCTCCTGGGGTGACCTGCTCACACCTCGGGGGCTAAGGCTGCCCACCCCTGCCCCCCAGGGCTGCTGCTGCTGCAACAGGCATGGAGCAAGGTAGGGAGTGGGTAGGTTACTACAGCCCCCATCCCTTCCGGAAAGGAATAAAATCAACACCATCACCGTCGTTATGATCCCTGCTTATTATATGGTCATCCTACAATACAGGGCGAACTCCTGAGCGCAGTTGTTATATAAACCACTTCGGCAACCAGACAGGAAGTGCGTAATATCACAAGCCACGTTCCGTTAGTCCTTAGGAGCTTTCCAAAGAGCTACAGTTGCATAAAATAGAACATCCGCCTCCAGCTTTTATACAGCTTTATATGCACATGCTTTTCCATTGCTCATATTATATATAGCATGTAATTATAAATATTTACAGAGGCATTACACACTGCCATATACTACACTAAAGCCATCTCCTACTAGAGTACTAAACTGCCAGCCAACTCTTAGCAGTCCACCCAATAATTTCTCCTGTTCCATTTAGAAGTGTTCTTGAATCTCTTGGAAAGTGTTCTTGAATCTCAAAGCTGTTTACACAAAGTAATTGAGAGCTTCAAATGAATTTTGAGAAGACTCTAGAAAGAAATCTCTATGCAGTATTTCTTATACACTATCACCTAACAACAACTGCACGTGCAGGCTTTCCAGAACTTCTGTTTCTCTAATAAAATACCAAGTCATTACAAAATCAGAAACATTTTAGGCTGTGTTCTTTTAAATTAGAATTAAAAGAAGGAGTGCTTTCGAAAGAGATCTCAATCACTTGGAAAAAAAAACACAGCTATCTCAATCAGTTGAGAAAAAAAAAAAACCTCACATTCTGCTCTGATGTCTTCAGATTTGAAGTCATTTAGGTTTAAATTGAACCTTTCCCATGTAGACTGCTTGGGTGAATGTCTGTGTTTCACTCTCTTCAGAAAAAGCATAACACCTCAAGATGTTTTCTAACACTTACTAATTCGAGAGCATTGGTGCAGACTATAAGAGCTACAGAAAAGTGTTGAAACTTAACTTTTTCTTTTGAGGAGATATTGCCTACAAGTCAACCAACAATTTATTCAGCTTTTGAAAATGCTTTGACAAGAGGGGACTCAGCAGAGAACAAAAAAGGAGAATGCAAGTTGATGAAGTGACACTAGAATAGTAGACTAGATGACTTTTCTTAGAAAAAGATAACAAAAAGGAAACAGGCAGATAAAACTGTCAGGAACTTCTCAGCTTCCTTCTTATCGTAAGCACATAAAGATACTTAATGAAATACATTTATCTTCCTCAATGCAATATGTAATTAAACCAAGAACACAGCTCTTCAGAGCACACTTCAAACTGAGAAGTCAGCAAGGCTCAAGAGCTCCTGTTATAGTTAGTGGTAGTAATGAGCTTTTGGGAATCAAACAAAGCCTTTTTCCACACCTCTACAATTTTTGTGATACCACAGGCTACCTCTCATCTGAGGCATACATCAGCTTCCCACGAGAACTGGAGCGCTCTGGGCTTGGCAGTTCTTAGACTGCAGAATCAAGCGACAACTACCCAGGTAACTGTTTAAAACTGAGCAAAACAGTGGAAAGTTATTCCCTTATCCCATTAGCTGTCATCTCAGACTTTGTGCTTCAATTCCTTCCTCAATCTTTCAGCATATGTGCTCCATTAATATACCCTTTTTTTGAACATTTGCTATTTAGCAATATGCTGCCCAGCAACTGTAGTTTGGTGACCCACCAGACATGGTTCTCCAAACACCAGTCTCCAGCCACCATCCTTAAACTTTTCAGTGTATGCAGTGACGTTCAGGCCCACACTGCTTAAGTGTTTCTGATTTTATTATTCTCTTGTGAAAAACAGGTACGAGTGGCCTTCATCTTCATTCACGTGGCTTTAAGCCGCTTTTGGCTCCATTAGTACCACACTTCCAAACAGAGTAGCTATGGATATAGTCACGCAGCTCAGAACTTACTGCAAGAAACCCACTCAGCACTGAAATTGCTCTTATACACAGAGCCGAAATTACAGCTAGCCCCTCGGGAACCACTCCACTCCTCCACTTCCACAGCAACGCCGAGCCCTGCTGGAAGCCACACGCGTGCACACAAGCCCGGAGCCCTGCCCCGTCGATGGGATCTCTCCTGCCGGGGACACGCGCTGCCGGGCGCGCAAGGAAGCGCCACGGGAAGGGCTGCTCCGAGCGCCACGCGTGCTCCCAGTGCAGGGCCGCCTATCCCAGCCCTGACAAATCACCATTTGCATTAATCTCCTCTTTGCTTTGCAGGCAGCAGGGAGCAAAAGTTACAGAGGTTTTTATACTGTACACATTTTAGTAAAACTTCCCTAGTCTCTCTGGTGGTCCAAGTTAAAATGCAGTCTTAGTTCCAAGTGTTTCTGCTTCTTTATTTAGTTTCCAATAGGGATAGTTTCATTTCTTCTGAACCCAACATTACCGTCTTTTTCCCATTTCAGCATCAAAGCACAGCACAGACAGACAGCCTAAGGAGGAGTAACTGTCCTAACTAGCTTTGATAAACTCCGTATGAAATGCAGAATGAGCTAATCCCTTGTACAACATTCCATCCTTAGGGATATCATTCAGGCATTTTGATTTATCTCTGCGATCTGTTCTTTACTTGTATTTGTTTTAAAACAAGAGCTTTCCAGCAGAACCTCTCTTCCCATAACCCAGGGAAACGCTCCATGTTGGTGACAGAGCCGCCTACGCACAACAAGGCGCAGACCTTCCTTTCCAGCCGCTGGCAACTGCACCGCAGTATTGTATTCCCACTTCCTCTTCCCCAAACTATTCCACATTACCACACATTAGCTGCTCAATAGCAAGGTTCTCTAACCTATGGTTCAGGCAGAATTTTTTGTTTGTTTGTTTTTTGAAGTGGAAGAAATGTGACATGTAGTGCAAATTTCCTATCCGCAATTTGAGTTCCAATTTCATAGAGTCCCTTAATTCAGTAGGTCATTAAACACCCCCTGCAACTGAATAATTGGAACAGATCAGATTAAGAGATCTAAAACTGACCACTTTATTTCCCTCACTCTCTGTAGGGGTCTTTCAATTTCTGTATAAGCACATTCAACACTTCCAGCTAAACTAACCCTCTGAAACACTGGCCATCTCCTTGCTAGGTTATAAGAACACTAGCAACATTGTTTTGAAACAGCACATGGGCACTAAAAAACAAGACATTGTTAAAAAAAAAAAAAAACAATACTTTTGTTGTACCAGCATTTATTTATAAAAACAGATTCAACTGACATGAATAAATTAACCTGGGCTGCAACAGATGTCTGAGGAAGGACTGTTGTGTTAGAGCTGTTTAATTATGAGATGAGCAGTCAGTTTTCGTGATGACATTTGAACAAACGAGACTGAAAATAATAAAGCCTCAGTTGAAACTTAAAAGTACAGGAGATGGCAGATCTGTAAGTTCACATCAACAAGTTTGATGCAGCAAAGTCTGCATTATGAATATAGCTAGGAATGCATGGAAAACAAATATTGAGGTTACTATTTCATATTTAGGCTTACCAGGTGAGGTTTCCCAATAAATTTCCTGAAAGGTGGTTTAATGAACCTCATAGGCTTTTGGAAGCCATCAATATGGGAATTTCGTAATTTTGAAACACTGCAGTTTTGCTGGTTCCTAATCAGAAAAGATGCAAACGAAAAAGACAATTAAAAACTAAATCCATAATGTATCAAACAAGCTGTGTTTAAGATGGCCTTATTCACCCCTTAAAAGTGCAAGGTGATGGTTTTCAAGCAGTATCAATCTAGGACACTTGCTGACACATTGCTTGTCTTCTGACTAAACAGAATCCCCACCTACTCAGAGTTACACTGTAATCTGTATTCTGAAATGCCATTATGAATAAAGAGGGATTTGCCTTCCTAAAATCCTCACTGCTCAAAGGCAGCCTCCCCGCTTCACCCAGCTGTGCCTGCACAGTTGCTGCCCTCTCCTGGCTTCAAATGAAAGAGCACTTCAGCCACTGCTTTGCACTATTACTACCTTTGCGATTGTACAAAAAGTCCCATTTTATGAATTTTCTGCATCAGACAAGCTGCAGCTAAATAGACAGAAGGCAGTAACATGCTCCATTTTCATCCTTAACAGGCCAAGCTTGTCCACCCACTCACACCATCCCTGCCCTCAGGCCCCATTAAAATGCACACCAGCTAGGACACTGTTCCCTCCCTCACGTCCAGCATGAGAAGAGCCATACTTCTAAAACAAAAAATGGGCTTCCCACTGTAAATAGCATATGGAAAGGGTCAGCAGACTAACTGCATGTGTAGGGAGGGGAGGGAATTATCTGGGAGATAATTCCCAGATTATCAGGCCAAACACTTACTAAGAACAGCAGCACTAGGTACATAAAAGGCTACATGCAATAGCTCAAGGTATTTTTCTTTGTTTAAACATAAAGGTCTATGCCTGAGCAAAGGTGAAGGGTGTGAAGCCCAAATACAAGAAATCTGTTTATTCTACAGCTCAAGCCTGCCTCCACCTCCACAAGTCACCTTTCCTTTGTGTATCGCCACAGTCTGTCATTACAGACTACATTTAATATGATGGCATCTGTTCATTTTTAAGAAATATCTTCAAATCAATACTATCATATGGAATCATTTACTTGAATGATTCCCTCCCATCTCCCATAGGAATAAGCCAAGTACTTTCTCACTGCAACCAGAAAATCCTCTGGTATCAGCAATGAAATAAGGATGACTCAGGGTAACAAATATCTCTGCGCCAAATGTCTTACAGAGGAACTCATAACAGTAATAAGCTATTCCAAACCTTCTATAGTTTTCCTCCATAGAATTCTTTCAGAATTAGAAGAAAAACAGTTTTTTGCTAGTACTCCCCATAGCGTTACAGAGAGCCAGGACAACATGACATATTTATGGCATATAATATTCTCTTGGTATTTTGCAGTTTTGTAAAAGCATTCTAGACTAAAACTACAAAATACCAAGAGAATATTATATGCCATTTAGAAAGAAGAATTTAAAAACAGCCAGGTCTCTTTTAAGTTCATTTCTTCCCCTCTTCCCATTCAGGCCTACAGGGTAAGTTTGGGGGGACGGCAAGGGAGTAGGGAGAAAAGGGTGCTTTGGGCTTTGTTTACTCTCTTCTCTTTTCCACTGCAGCTTAATCTTTTTCAAGGTAACACTTCATTACAGCGCAAGTTGCAGGAGCATTTGCAATGTACACCAGTAGAATTTCAAGCTGAGTCAGACTTGCAAGGACAAACCTACTGAAAAGAATCAGAGCATACTTGAATGCAACTGTGGGAAAGCCTCGAAAATACAAAATGAATGTATAAGATAACCACAGGTTTGGGCAAACACAATTTGTACCAGCTAATTACCTTGGAGTGATGCCATCCATACGAAATACTCTCTCGTCTTCATTCTGCAATCTCTCTTTTCTTCTCCTTTCTATATCATGTCGCAGATCATTTGGATCTTCTAGAACTCTCATCATGTTCTAGTTGAAAGGAAGGGTTGATGTCAGGTTGGTTCAAAATAACTGAACAATATTATGTAAACTAAGTGACTTTATTCTGCTTTTCAGGAATCATGTAACCTCAGTAAAGTGGTTCAACCACCTGCACTTAAGACAGATGCCTATCAACCCAGGAATCCAAATTCCACAGCAGTTGCAAAAAGAGTCCAAATCACTCCCTCCAGCTACCTATCCACAAATTTCCAAACAACAGTGAACAGAGTATTAGAACAGCACTGTGCATTTCAGCACGGAGTTACACAGGCGTTAGACATGGAGTTATATCTATGTGAATATTTTCACATAGACCCCAGTGGTAAGAAAGTCTACTGTTCTTAATTTGCATCTTCACATACATGCACTGTAGAAAAAAATATAAAATTTTGATCTCCTCTCTGGATGTTTAGTCAATCTAACACTGGGATACAGAAGACATTAAGGCTTAAAAAAAAAAAAAAAACACTTCAGATATAAAGTTGGATCCATATGTCAATATTCACCAACTTACCATTTGGACTATTTTAAAACAAATAGTTACTCTCACTTCTTGAAACGCCATCTAAAACACTCTAGCTACCACAAAAGACAAATGTATGGTACTAGTCAGCAGCACAGTATATGAGCACCATTCAGATTACATCCATACATCTGCTAAAAGCATTAGAAATAGGCAAAATTACTGATGGTCTTCAAAACATGTAAAAATGGCCTGTCAACATCAAAAATGTTACTTGTGACCGTATCATTTCAGTTATTTAACTACTTTGGTCAAACAGTAAGATACCTGTGGAGATTCAGACGGCACAGCTCGTTTGTTCTGAAGTTCCGCTAGAGACATATCAATCCTCCTAGAAGAACAGAAATATTACATAAAAACAGGCACCATCATTATCAATAGCAAGAGTATTACTGTTAAGCAACTACATTACTATTTATTACTTTTAAGCAACTACGTTACTACTACCCAGGCAGAGAAACGACACTGTTCAGCTGTATCGTATCTTCAGTATACTGAAGATAAGTAATTACCTTAACAGAAATAAAGACAAAATTATATCCATTACCTGTGAATTTCTGGATCCAAATGTGTTTTAACTTCGTTCATATTTGCAACAGGTTTATCCTGAATTTTTGAGAACCGTTCATGTAAAGTTATGTCAGAAGATGCAAAATAATTTGCTGTAAAGAGACATTAAATACAAGTATGTTTATTTTCTTCTTGGTATTTGAACCGTACAGTTGAATATCTTATCGCCTAAAAGATTTACTGTTAAGAAAATCTCTTAACACAACTTGAAATAAAAATTCCCAACTATTTCCATTTGCAGCCCCACATTCAGAAATGAAAGATTAGGCCAGTCCAACTTAATTTTATTCAATAAGAAATATGTCTAAGTTGAATAGAAAGTTATTTACCAGCTCTATTATGGTAATACTCAAGCTACTGTAATCTACAGCTAACAAAGTTCAACACTGAATACTAAACAGCAGTCTGAAAACTAATTTGAAAAAATAAAGGGAAGCTATATTACCCATTAATTGCAACTAAAGAAAATACAAGATAAATGAAGTCAAACACCTGAGGTCTACAAGAACAACATATTTAATTCTTTTTAATAATTATAAATATATAAACACACACAAATACGTATACCCAAAATATTATAACCACCTTTAACTTGATGGATAATTGTGATTATTTCCTGAGTAAATTCTCTTGATGGATTGTTTTCAACATTTTGTGTTACAGATTCCATGTGTTCAAACACTGGGTGAAAATTTTCATTTTTCCTGCCAATAGCAACCAGATCATGTGACATCTGTCTCTCTGTAGTATGACTAGAAGCAGCCCTAGAATAAAAATTTGTAGATATGCACTTTAATAGAATTCAGTATACTTGAAAACTTCAAATAGAATAAAACAGTAAATTAAGAAATTCATTTTAGGAAAATTATGAGGAATATGATGAAACTGAAATCTGATTTCTTTCCTTTTTTAATTAAAGGACGTCAGGCAAGAAATACTGGTGACAATGTAAGGAAGGAAAGCAAGAACAACACAGCTACATATGTCTGAGCTCTCAAACCCTTGTGAATTATGCAGTACAAAAACTGAAAATTTTAAACTAGATTACCAATTAAGAGACAAAATAAGATTCTGATTTAAAATATTTTCTTAGTATCATTCGGGAAGATAATTATTTTTTTTCCTTTACATTTACCAAGAGCTATAAGCACTTTTCAAGACAGTTCAGAGATCTTAATACCTTACGTTGTCTTCAAAAAAAAAAATCACAATTTAAAGCTTAGTGAAACAGCTCTCCTCCAGAATGACCACTAGTAGTGCGCAAACTTATTTTTAATTTTTTTAAATCAATTTTGCTGTTTTCGTTTCAGTAAAAACACTTGTCATTTGGAAAGTTGAGTTCAGGACTCAAGGATTCCGCAAGAAATTTTTTTTAGGATGGAGGCTCTCTTTACCATGCTTTCAGGAAAGCTATTAGGAACCTGCCCATGCTGCACCTGAAGATTCAAAGACATATATCCCACAAAAATTACATTATAGAAACAACCTCTGGCAGGTCCCAGGGGTCACCCACTTGCTATGGTAAACTGGAAATAAGTGAACCTGAGAAGGAATTCCAGCAACCTCGGTTCAGGCATTTACTGTAGATGCTTTATCTATCTTCTTCCCAGGTTTATAAGGAACATTTTCTTCTCAGCTAAGGTATTTCAAGTCACATGTTAGTTAAATGCCTTGAAGCAGGCAGCAAAAACACACCCAGCCACTACATCCTACGAAAATCATGCTTTCAGTTTTAAAAACTTTCATTTTCTTCACTTTGGGCTGTGGAAAAAAACCTGCTAAATATGAAGCAAACTGTAATCAACATCGCAGTTCTTCAGTCTGCAAATAATCACCCTCTCCATTGTGTGCGACTCTTCAAACCAGCAAGAGACGACTGCTACCAGCAGACTTCTGGGTGCACTCACAACAAAAACAAACAATATTTTTCTTATATTAACTTCCAGAAATAAGAAAGGCTTGTCCATGTGTTGGACTATCACCCTCTGCTGCTCTTTTATGCAGCCATTAATGACATCAAGGGAAAACTGGAAAACATCAAACAGGATTTCAGAGCTCTGGGCATGGTAGTCACGGGCCTGGGAGGCCAGGCCATCTTCTCAGTTTTTGGTGCAGGAAAGGGTGAGAGGAGCAACAGACAAATTTGTCAAGTTACCAACCAGCTGCACCACTGTTGTTGGGAACAGGGTTTTGGTTTCTACAACCATGGGACCCTGCTTGAAGATCAGCAACTGATGGGGAGGGATGGCCCCCTCCTCACTAAGCAGGACACGTGCATTTTTACCACAGCTTGGCCTGCCTGGTTAAGGAGAGCTTCAAACTAGGAAAGACAGGGGACAGGGGGAGCTAGAGCAGTCAGCAAAACACGGCTGAGCTCAGGATGCCTCCAGTGGGTGCATCCATACGGGATGGACTATGGAGGATCCTCTTGTAGCTCTCATGGCAAACCTGCACACTCAAATACCTCTTTGAAATGCTGCACGCCAAGGCACACAACAGGAGGAATAAACAGGAAAATCCCCATGCAGCGCAGGGCAGCGATCTCCATGCCATTAGAGACATGGTGGGACAGCTCACATGCCTGCAGTGCTACCACGGAGGGCTGTGTGCTTTTGAAGAAAGCCAGGAAAACAAGGTGGAGTTGGCTCTTTACGGGAGAGAACAACTGGATTGGATCAAGCTCTGTCTAGGGGTCAGTCCATCCCTTCTGGTAAGAAGCCAGGCAGAGGGGACAGGAGACCTGCATGGATGTTCAAGGAGCTCCTGACAAAACAGAATGTGGAAAAAAGGGCAGGAAACTCAGGAACAGTAGAGGAACATTGTCAGAGTACACAGGGATGGGACAAGGAAAGCTAAGTCCCATCTGGAATTCAATCTGGTCAAGTACACCAAGAAGGGCTTCTTGAAATACATCAGTAGCAAAAGGAAGACTAGGGAAAAAGTGGGTCAGCAGCTGCATGGGGTGAGTGCCCTGGTGACAAAGAGTACAGAGAGAACAGAGCTGCTGAATACCACTTTTTCTTCAGTCTTTACAGCTTAGGGCAGCCCTCAGCAGAAACGAGAGAAAGTCTGGAGAAAAGACAACCTTCCTTAGGCTGAGGAAGTTCAGGTTAGAGATCATTCAGGCAAATAAAAAAACATATCTCCAAAAAAAAAAAAAAGGATTTCAAAAAACACACCCACAACCCACAAGTCTATGGGCCCTGATGGCATGCACTCACAAGTGCAGAGAGCTGGCAGATGTTTTTGGTAGGCCACTCTCATTCACCTCGGAAAGGTCACAGAGCACAGGGCAGGTGCCTGAGGACTGGAAGAAAGCCAACGTCACTCCAGTCTTCAGAAATGGCAAGGAGGATGACCCAGGGCCCTACACGCCAGTCAGCCTCACCGCCAACCCTGGAAAGGTGATGGGACAGCTCATCCTGAATGTCTTCAGTGAGCATGTGGTGCTTATCGGGAGCAGTCAGCACGGGTGCAGCAAGGGGAAATCACGCTTAACCAGTCTGATAACTTTCTAAGATAGAAGGACTGCCTGGTTGGATCAGAGAACAGTGGATGTTGCCTACCTTGACCTCGACAAGGCTTTTGCTACTGTCTCCCACAACATCCCCATAGGCAAGCTCAAGAAGTGCGGGCTAGATGTGTACAGTGAGGTGCACTGAGCACTGCCTGAATGGCAGAGCTCAGTGGACTGAGACCAGGAGCACAGTGTCAGTAGAGGCCTGCAGCCAGCACAGTGCAGCACAGTGGAGGCCTGCAGCTAGCAGCATCCTCCGAGGACCAGTGCTGACTCCAGTCTTATTCAACTCTTCCATCAGTGGCCTGGGTGAAGGCATAGAGCCCACCCTCATCAAGTTTGAGGATGAGACAAAACTGGAAGCAGTGGCTGATTGTGCTGCATTCAGAGACCTGGACAGGCCAGAGTTAGATGGAGCAGAACCTCATGAAGTTCAAAGGCAGGCGCACCTAGGGGGAAATAAACCTCCCTAGTACAAGCTGGAGACTGCCCAGCTTGAAAGCAACTCTGTTGAGAAGGAACTGGAACAACAAGCTGACTATGAGCCCGAAACATGCTCTTGTGGCCAAGAAGGCCAAAAATATCCTGGGTGCACTAGGAAGTGTTGCCAGTAGGCTGAGGGAGATGTGGCCTCACCAGGGCTGAGTAGAGGGGGAGGATCATCTGGAACACTGTGTGCAGGGAGCTCCACAGTACAAGAGGCGCACGGAGCTACTGGAAAGAGCCCCTCCAGTCCAGGCAAGTTAACATTTTAGAATAAGTTACAACCTTGTTTTGTGCTTATTACCTCTTTCGGAAACCTTAGTTTCTCCCATATTCACAAACTAAGCAGATAAAAAGAAAGAAAAGATGAGGAGAAGACAATACCTGTACTTGGACACCATTTTCTTCATATCCACTTTGATTGTCAGACGTTCCCTCCTACAGCTGACATCTGACATTTTCACATCTGAAACTGTATGACTTGAATCATGCTGGCTATTGGAAGAATCTACTTTTTTCCTGATTTCCCCTTCTTTCCTTACTTTTTCCTTCTGCTTGTTATTAAAGGATCTCAGATCCACATCCGTTTTGCAAGAGTTAACGCACGCATTGCAGCCCTTCTTCGAGCTGTATTTAACAGGTACTTCAATGTGCCCTTCTTCCATCTGTCTCGCTCTTTCACCGCTAAAGTAATCTAACTCTTTGCTATCCCGGGCTCCCTTAGAAGAATTGTATTTCTGGTCTTCCTGCTTTCCATACTTCTGAGCTCTATCAGCTGAAAAAGACTTTTCCCCGTCTGGATGCCTGCGTCGTTTGTGACTGTATTCGTAGGTTAACTTTGTGACGGGCCCCTCCGAGTACTCCCTTTCGGCCGACCGGTGAGACTGGGCACCCACATTTCTTTGCTCCTCCTTTTCTTTGTAGGGTGCAAAAGAGCGTTCTTTCTTCCACTTGGAATTTCTTGCTATTTCTCCATCGTCATACCTCTCCATTTCTTTAGCCCTTTTAGACGTGTGCCCATATTCTCTGTAATCGTGATCTTCAGGATACCTGTGTTGACATAAAGCAATTTACACTTGCACTAGAGAAGAAAGTGAGAACTTATATGTGCAGAATGTTGGACAGCAGAATGCGTGGCAAGTTAACCCATAATCCCTCATGCCACGGTACAGATGTGCAGGGGCTCTTAAGAGGGAAATATTATCCTCTCACACTCTAGCCATCAATAACGATTTACTTAAAAGACAAATACTTCACTATTACCAGTCGCCCAAAATTAAACTACAAAGTGGCAAACGTGTTTCAAGGTGGGTATCTTCAACTATAATGAAAAAAGACTTTCACTTGAGGCTTTACACCACAATACCCAGGTTTTAATTATTTTATTCCTATACCTCTTCTGTAAAGAGCTCCTTGCCGTACACTCATCAGACACTCTTCTGGGTGACTGACCATACTTCTCATGTAATCTCTGGTGCCTCAAGTCATCTTCATGCCATTTCCTTTCAAGTTTACATGATGCCCCTAATGGTCTATGAAAAGGTTTCATTCCTTTTTCATTTCCGGTGACTTTATAGTGCTCAGACATATATCTCTCTTCCATTTTGTGCTGGTAAAATGGTCGGTCATGTTCTTTATACGGCATTTCTGAGTATTTTGGTGGTAACTGATATCTCCTATTGCTTTCAGTTCTTTCTGATGAATGTGTTCTGTAGGGCTTATGACTGTAAGTATCTTCCAAGAGAATTCTTTTTAGGTTTGGTGAAGGTGACCTACGTTCATACATTCTCTGGTGGTTATTTCCATGAGGTGCAAATCTAGAATTGCTTTGTCCATACTTTCCATCTTCTGCCCTCCAAGGCATAGACTTCTTTGGGTCCTTACGAAAGTTTTTGTATTCACAGTCATAACTAATATGAGCATGCCTTTGCCTATGGTGTTCTGGACTCCTAAATGCTGGCGATAAGGACCTGAGACAAAAAACAAGATAGATAACACTTTAAGTAGTCCCAGAAAACCAAATCATACTCTTCATGAGAACATCTGTTCAGTACAAAAGCATGATAGAGTACAGCACATAGTAACCAACTTGTAAAAAAAAAAAAAAATAATAATAATACAAGCCAAGATCTTCAAAGCATTTGTCTGGCTAGACTAATTTACTTGCATCCTGTTAAAAGTTTTCACAGGAAGAACACCCTCTCAGAAGACTGGAAAGTCAGTCATTCTCCTCACACTGCATTTTTCATTTCAAATTAGTGTCATGTACATACGAGGTTTCTACTACATTTAAAACAACTGTTACATAATTCTTCACACTTCTCAAGCATTCCCTGTCTTTGTCTGTGCCAAGAGAAAAAAAAAAAACGGGGAAGAAAAAACACTAAAGAAATACAAACAACAACAACAAAAAATGAGCCTCTGCAGGGCCAGGAAGTCATGCAAAGAAATGCTGCTGATTTAAAGCATTACAGAATATCCTATCTTAGAAAGAGAAAAGGGTTACACAGGTGAGCTCTTTCTACAGAAAAAATAGTTCGAGAAAAAATGTTTTGGTCTTTTTGTCCAAGTGTGCATATATATATATATGTATATACTTTTTTTATTACACACCAATAGCTCTGATGTCTTAAAAATCATACTCCAGCCTCTTAATTCAGCATCTAAAATTTCCATTGCAAGTCCTAAAAATTAGGCAGGTAACTACTTGCATGATGGTTCTGGTGGCATCAGACACATGCCACCAGGCTACTTTTCAAAAGGGCACTGTGATTTCCCACTGTGATTTTTTTCCACCTTATGCTGTCAGGCGTATCTAACCATGCTACAAATTGATTTTGAGGTCAGCTCCCAAAGCTAGAAAAGCAGTCATTTGACTTCTCCCTCTAGATTAAGACACAAAACAGGAGTGTCTAAAGATATTAAGTGGTGTCTGAGTAAAAAAAGTTTTTACGTTTAACTGAGCTTTTAACTATTGTCTGAGAGTTTGGTGCTTAAAGTAGTTCCAAATCCCAAAATAAGCAATTTGTGCATGGTTCTTGGTGGAGAGCAAGATCTTAACACCTCTAGTCAAAAGTAGTAGAAAAAAATTACTGTTAGAAAAAAAAATGGCTCAGAAGTTGTTCAGTTTTGGAACAAGTTGTTTCAGTCTGGAAAAAAATTATACTTGGCTAAAACACAAAAATTTTAAATTGTGATTCTGGCTTCTTTTGGTTTTATTTTACTTAACAGCTTTAGATCTTTGTTATAAATCCATATACAGGACTACATTTCAGAACAGAAATGAAGATCTAGGTAAATGTGTACCTTTGTTTCCATCGTGGTGATCTTGATCTAGATCTCGTCATCTTTTCTCACGTGTTTTTGAGTTTCTTGAAGCTGAAAAACAATACAAATTAATAGTGTAACAATAGCATTGCACTACAACTGGCAACACAGGCAGTTACTTTTAACTTACTTTAACTACTATTAGATAATCCAGGTTTGAAGCAGTAGTATGCATTATATTCAACTCATTCTCATTTGAAAGCAAGTAACTTTCTTTCCTAACTGGTGATCTGAGAACACAGTTTATTTTCTTTATAAACAATTTAGAATATTAGGTCACAGGTCAGTCACTTCTTTCTCTCCACATTATGCAATGATATCTCTTCATGGCTTTTTGTTTTTAAAAAAGTGTTAAGACCCTCACAAAGAAATTGCAACCGAGTGAAAAAATTATGCCATAATTATTAGCACATACTGAATGCCGGAAACAGGGGAGGGAGGGAACAGGCACACAACATAATAATCAAGCTTGAAGGGAAAAGTTTTAGCATCCAGCTACCCATATATACTGCACTTAGATTTGTGATATACCTTAGTCTTTTTAAGGTTACAGAGTTCTTGCAATCTATTACTGCTCCATCAAGCATTAACTTTTCTTGCATCACATTTTATCCATGTAAAACAGAGTACAAAAGATCTCATCTCTATACTCCACTTGTTAATAAACTACTACCTCTGCTTGCATTTAAATGGACTATTCGAGGCATCACAAAGTACTTTTTAAAAAAAAAAAATTTCTAGTGCTTTTACACTACCAGCTAAAAATTACAATTTCAGTTATGTGAAAATGAACATTAGATTCTATTAACGAATGCAGAAGGATTAGGAAAAGCATTGAAAATAACAAACGAAACATAATTACGGTGTCACAAAAGCCTACCTTATGGACAAATCTCAAAGACTGAATAGTATTGGACATCCCTTCGCACAAACAATACAGAAGACTCAAAGAACATACTAATGGACTCCCCTCTTCTTGCCCGTCTTCACATTAAAGAGATAATGTACTTGGAAGGCTCTACAAACCCACAAGAAATGACTCCCACACACACCCCCTTATTTGCCACAAGATGCTGTAGAGGCCAGAAATACTAATAGCTACAAAAGCAAATCCATCGATAGGTCTGGAATTAGCAGATAACCAACTGGAAGAACCCGTGGGTCATTGGCACTCTGCACATGCTCTGGTGCTTTTCCAGAAATATCTGCTCACAGACATTCCCAGAGACAAAAAAAAAAAAAAGTCTATACCGGCCAACTATGGTTTTTCTGACACCCCTACTCACTCCAGTCCTTTTGTAACTGAATCTTTTAGTTACAAAATAAAGGGACAGGTAGAAAGGATAGGGAAACAAGAGGAAAAAAAAAAAAAAAAGGGAGAGAGAGAGAGAGAGAACAGCAGGCTTTCAGAGGGAAACCTGGAAAAGGAAGAACATGCCCACATGCCTATTTCCTCCCCATCACATCAGCTGGTTGATAAAATTTTCTCTGTCTCCGACCTCATCTACTTTATTTGTATTAACAGATTATAACTACAACACCACCTTCTTAAAAGGGAATATGCAGCATACTTCTGATAACTAAAACCACACATGGGCAATAGGTAAACCAACCTACTACATTTCAGCAAACAAAGCTGCCTGCGTTTATTAGGCTGGACAATTACTTACAACACAGCACATGGCCAGAGAAAATCCTCAGAGTTTTTTTGTTTGTTTTTAATAAAAGAGTCGCATTTACCACCAAAGTATTTCTTTTGTGATTAAACTGTCCATGTGGCAAGGAATAAAGGTATAAGAAGTGTTACCACGCATAATGTAAGAAAAAATAGGAAATACTCCAAAGACAGAGTATTTCTGCTTTGAACTGTCAAATAGGAAACTAAGCCTTACTTGGATCCTGAGTACCTTAGATCTTGTTCTCAGATACACATTTAAAGGGAGCAAGATGGCATCAATTTACCTCGGTCCTTTCTGCTTGCTCTAAAATTGTACTAGTAAGCATTAATTATAATGCTCCAGGAGAAGCCATAACGAACATTTCATTGTTCAAACAGTACGACCAAGGCCTATGTAATTTTGTACTTCTCGCCAATAAAAAACATTTTACTTAGCAGGACATAAAATACGTCGAAAACATTAAACTCCCCCCCTGGCTAATACATTTTAAAAAATAAAATCTTGTAAACTTCAGTAGCACTTTATATGATATTAAAATTCCTGCTTTCTGTCTTCCCTTGGGTTCTGAACTTTATCCTTCGTTTTAAAATGAAGGATAAACACTTAAAAGACAGTGCCATTAAACTCCACCCAGACATCCTACAGAGCTTAATGCAGTGCCAGGAGATCCTATCACGGACCAATCGAGCTAGAAATTGAACATACATTGCCAGAGGTTTTGCTATTCCCATCAGCTGAGCAATCACACTAAAAGCGTGACAGGGACAGTGACAGCGTGTCCTAGGCCTTGCCTTGCGATAAACAGGATTACTATAATTCCAGCAGGGACTCTCCTTCAGTTTAGTGGGAAGAACTGTTCATTCATTTTAACGCATCTCCTCGGAAGGTCACACAAGTAATGCAACTTCCTCAGCACAAGAGTCAAAGTGAAAAAATGCATAAAGGCAGTAAAAGCTCAACCCCAATCCAAACCCCCAGCTAACACAGTCAATGTCAAAATTGAAAGTACGCTGCCAGGCCATGTTTAAAGCAAGGACCCATCTTACTGGTTGAGGTGCAAGGTGCAAAGCAAGCTGTCTGTGCTACGGCTCCGGGCAGCAGGCCCATTTCCAGTAAAACTGTCCGGATGAAGTGCAGGCCCTGTAGTTCCCAAGCCGGCTGTCCAGGTGCTTCTTCAAGGGAAGTTCATTTTAAACCAGAGGTGCCAGGACCTACTATATTCTGGTCTCTGAATTTCACCAAGTCCTCCTCCTCTGTTTTACAGGAAGCTGCCACTATGACAAATGAACAGAACTACTTAACTAGGAGGCAATATTACTCAGATCATGGTGCTGCTTGTTTTTTGTTATGCTACAACAATAAGTGACTCATTAGAGAGGAGTTATCGGCAACAGCACTCGGTTTTTAAACATTAATGAGGAAAACTCTCTCTTATTTTGTTTTCCTCAGCTTTTGGAACTTAAATCAAACAGCTTCCGTCTCAGGAGAAAATGCCTTAAGCCTGCTGCCAGCTTTCCACTGCTTCTATCTTTAAGAGATCGCTGCTTTGGCAAGTACAAAATTCCTGTACCGTTTTTTAAGAATCTGAAAGAGGTGTTTTGAAAGAGGTAACTCAAAAACGACCAGGAATGTTTGGGTGTGACAGCCAGACACACATTCCTTCAGAATGGCTATCAATTTAACAACTTGCTCTACTAGACCAAACCACCTCCAGTCTCCATCCTCTCCAGCAGGCAAGGTTAGAAATCACAAGTTACTGCAATCATGTAGCTGCAGGGAGGAGAACCAGGGCTCTGGCAAATGCAAACCGCCCTGCATGGGTAAGTCTCCCATGGCTAAAACCTTGCAGATCAAACACGGATGGAGTCAAAGCAGGTAAGTCTTCTGCAAATAGACCATAAAAATGGTCCACCATCAAAACGTGGACTGTTTTATATTCCTTTTGGGTGTGGTCAGCATTTACGATACAGATGATGGAAGAAATCCAGGGCTGGAAATGCAACAGAGCCGGTGAACAGTAGCAATGGGAGCTTGTACTGTCATTTCACCTGCGGCAAAGAGTCTCTAACCACTTTGCAAGGGGCTGCCTGGCTCCAGCTGCAATGGCCTTCCAAGGAAAACCCCTCGGAGACAGCCGGCCAGAGCAGGGCGCCCACAGGCCAGACCACAGGGCACGCAGCAAGGCCGACGTGGGCCCTCACGGCAGGAGGGCCCGTCCCACTACCCCTGCCCCGTGCAGACGAGCAGCTGCAGCTTCACTGGACTGGCTCCTCATCAGCCCGAAGCTGCCAGGGACGTGTCAGAGCCTGCATGGTCACAGTGCCTATCGCGAAAGGAAAACCAGGGATCGAGCAGCTCAGCACCAGCACAGCCAAATATGTGACAGAAACCGGAAAAATTAAAAGCTCAGCTGCATCCCAGCATTAACTTCCCCATGAAATTTAAGAACCGTAAAGCCTGAAGCACATAAGGCTATTTATCCTACTCGCAGATCAAAATGTATAAAACTGGCAACTTTTCTAATAGATAGAGCCGCTGACTCGCAGAGCTGTGTTTTCCACTGCTTGTTGCTATTGCCTGGGCAGGACATAAGCACTGCACGCGCTTTTTCTCTGCTCAGCTCCCAGGTATGCAAGCTCTCTTGGCATTTGCTCTCCAAAAGGAGCCTGAAATAGGGCAATGGAACCGCACGATTCAACAAATGCCCCTCAGAAGCACAGCCCTATCATATATCTAAACATGGCAGGTATATATATATATACACCTCATGCAAAAATCTTGTCTCCAAAATGGCCAACAGCCTGTGCCCAGGGAAGGATTAAACATGTCTCTCAGGACCCACCAAACTGGAAAGTTTCTGACCTGCAGCGGGAATCATAAAGATCCAGCAGAAACACAGTCGGTTTCACACATACTTTAATGCACATATATACCTCCCGTCAACTCTCCCAGTTGCCTCTGACCTCAAAGCCATGCCGGGCTGCGGTGCCAGGGGCGCTCCCGGGACGCAGGGCAGGACGCCGTGGGCCACGCGGTGCCGCCCTGGCTGGTCCTAGCGCCACGCTCCTCGCCGCAGACCCCAGCGCCGTGAGGAGCGAGCGGAGCGCGCCTGGGCATGGCTGCCTGCAGCCCAGAGCCCCCAAGCAGCTCCCGGCCCCCAACACTGCCCCTGGTTTGCTTGCAGAGCGCACTCAGAAAGTCATCAACTACAACAGCTTGGGGACATACGCTGGCTGAAGAAATGCAACCGAGGGATTTCTAGACCACTCCCTCTTTCAGACAACTTGGTAGATTGCAGAGATATGTGCAAAGACCTCTAGTCAAACTCCCCATCCTCAGCTTCTTTGCTCCTCTGATAGTCCTAGAAGAGCACTAGTGCA